ATGTAGGGGAGGCCGGGCCTTGGCCTAAAAAAGCACTCTCCTGAATGTTATTTATACGTTGATTTTTTACTACAGGTTGTGCACTTTGCTGTACACTCTCTAATGGGCGTTTCTGTGGCTGACTCATTTGATTAGGTTGTGGATTGGGAACGAAGTTGGGGAATCCCTGGCGATGATTAAAAGTTGGCTTCCATGAGTTTTGGTTAAATGGGGTACGTATAGAATTCGGGTTATAGAAATTGCTTTGATATCTCGGTTGTTGATACCGTGGTATTGGTTGTTGACACTGTGGTCTTGGTCCCTGATTATTTTTCATCGATGGATCTACTTCCATTGGTTCTGGTTTCGGGAAATAACTTTTATTGTTATTAGTTGGGATTTGAGGGCGTTGTCGATAACGTAGATTATTTTGATGTCTATTTACTTGGGTTGAGTTCGCATTTTTACTAAAGATAATTGCGAAGTTAGTACGTAGTTGGTTTGATTCTAACTCTTGGGCTTTTGCTAAAGCATTAGGAAGGTCTTCTGGAGACAATGAAAATAAGACGTTAGATAAGGGAGGATTTATTCCAGTTATAAATATTCGTGTAGCGTTCTCCCGATGCTTTTTATTTAATTTTGCGGTTAGAGTGTTACTATTACCGTATGTCATTATAGTTTTGTTTATTAGCATTGTTAGTTTTTTGTTTACTTCGTTACAGTAGTCCAAAATTGTCATTGAGCCTCGTCTTAGGACACTTATTTCTTGTTCGATTATATGTATTGGTCGCTTATCCGCGTAAGCGAAGTCCAATCTACTGATTATTGCATCAAAATTCAAAACCGTACCGTGGTTGGTCAATACGTCTTTAGCTTCATCAGTTATTTTATTTCGAAGAATGGTTAAAGCAGCGAAGTATTTTCTACTACCGCGGGTGTATAGGCTAAGAGAATTCTTTGCGGCTTCGCGCCAGCTCACGTAAGAGCCGTCTTTACCGTTAAATTGAGGGAGACTTTTGATTACATCTAAAGTTTCGTCACAGCGTATAGTCTCGTCTATTGTTTTAGTTTTAAATTCCGGTACGGTACTGACATCGACTAATGTCTGTATTTGTCTCTTGAGACCGTCAATTTCTAATTTTAAAGACGCTGTATTAGCAGCTATAAGACGCGTTACTGAGTCTGAGGTGAAAGTAGTGTTCTCGTTTGTAGTCATGTTTGAAAATTTCCCTGTTAGTTCTTCCAGATTTAAGGGTGACTAACAATATAATTTCAATATAGTTTTAATTTCAATATATTTGAAAAAAAAATATTTTCAAAAAAAATTTTTTATTTTTTTAATATAATTCAATAATATAATATATAATATTTTTAGTAAAAATTTTTAATATAATTTTATGTTCGTTTTTTAATTTTAAATTCAATTATATAATATTTAATATTCTTAATAAGATTTTTTTAATATAATTTTATGTTCGTTTTTTCTTCACGATGGCAATTCAAAAATAATAACAATAATTTAATTTGATTTTATTCATACAAAAATTATTTTTTTTGTTAAACCTAACTCACGTTTCTCCTGATGATGAGGATACTTGACTGTTGATGGTTGGGTTCTATGCTGTCCAGGAATCCTTTTCCTCAGCTCCAGTTGGCAGCAGATAAATAATTTATTCGAAGCGACTGATTATAGAAAGTCACTTTCTTATTAAATTATCTTAATGTTTTGAAATTAGTGTTGGTGACCCTACGATTCTTTATTATTGAATTTGGCTTTTTGTGATAAAATACTTCTTGGTTACTTTTAAATTTTCACCAACTTTGTAATACACTTTTATAGTTCACCAAATGTTTTATTCAAATCACTTCCGATCACTTTCCGTATAACACTTTTTTTTCAATGTCCCTGCTCGGGCGCCAATTAATGAGATTATAAGTCCGGTTAAATTTTAAAAAATATTTTATTTAATGAATAGTAATTACATTTAACCATATTCTAACCGTACATAAATCTAATCTAAGTGAGCAATGCTCCTACTTTTATATTCAAATAATCTGAGCTTACAAATAAAGCTTTTCACTCAAAGCTTGCTCAGATCATAATTTAAATTCTAACTTATTCTCTATATTTTCTCTTACAAAATAACTTTCTATTTTATACTTAACCCTACAAAGTGAGAGCGTGCGATAACATACATAATTATAACTAAAGTTTTGTTAAAAACTATATCTTTATATATATTATGTTATATAAAATATTATATTATTGCTATGAAATTATATATTAAATATATATAACAATTTTTTTGTACTATTGTAATTAAATTATTTATTTATAGAAATTTATCAAACACACGAAACAAAACATAACTAGAGAAACGTCAGAATTAATCTCGAATGTGTAATGTAAACGGTGTAAATTAAAAATATAGTTTAATTTAATCTCGTTCTTTTAATCTTACAATGTAAACGGAGTATTACTGTAGCAACGTTCGTGTGTATGTGTCTGATTTAAGGATTGGTGTTGATGGCAACACCAAAAAATGAGTCTGGTAGGTGTGATTTTTGTTTGTTTAGAGACTGATATGGTTTGAAACCATCATTTTCCGAAGAAAATATATAATTCCTTGTTCGTATGTTTGTTGTATGGTGAGCGGTACTTTTGTGCGGATAGAAAAGTTAACGTGGAACATGTATTGTTCAATATACATATAACAATAAACATTAAAAACTATGGTAGTTTTATCATTGTTTCTCTGTCATCATTAAAGATATACTTGCTATTCTGAATGATGTACGAACAATTATTTTCAATTCAGACGGAAGAGAAAAACGGAAAATCTGACAGACTGCGCAGGAACAATTTTTTATATTTTGTTAAATTTTGATTTGTGTTTAAGACAGGTAGAAAATTCTATTGTTGACGTTATGTATTCAAAAAGCTCAAGTTTGATATTGTAAAAGATCTAATTTTGGTTTTTAAAACATCTGTATAAGAGAATAAGTCAACTTTCTTTCTATATAAGAATGATTTTCATGATCTGAACATTTTTTAGATCAAGTAAATTGTTTTTCATAAGAAAAGTTTTGTATATATATGAGATTTGTATTTTTTGGATCAACTAAATTTTTATATTAGATTAAAATTACGGTATATTAAGTAATATATTATATTGTGTTATTGTATTTGGTACATATTATATTTTTATACTATGTTACAGGTTAATATGAAGCAGATAAACGTTTCTGTTATTGGCCTTTCTGGGACCGAAAAAGATAGAGGTCAAGTTGGTGTCGGAAAATCATGTCTCTGCAATAGGTTCTTAAGACCTTTAGCTGATGATTACTTCATTGACCATATATCAGTGTTGAGTCAAGTTCGTGAATATTTTAATTTTAATAAATTTATTCTTTAAAATATTTTTTTTTGTTTTTAGAGTGATTTTAGTGGAAGAATTGTTAATAATGATCATTTTCTTTATTGGGGAGAAGTTCATAAAATTACAGATGATGGAGCAGAGTACACATTTAACATAGTAGAACAAACGGAATTCATGGATGATTCAACATTTCAACCATTTAAAGTTGGAAAAATGGAATCTTATATAAAAAGATGTACGGCTACTAGAGTTTTTTCTGCTGAAAAGCTTATGTATATATGTAAAAACCAACTAGGGATAGAAAAAGAGTATGAAGAAAAAGTAATGCCTGAAGGAAGGCTTAGTATAGATGGTTATATCCTCGTATTCGACGTTAGTTCAGTGCCAAATAGATCCATAGAAAAACAACTTGAATTTGTTCAAAATGTCATCAGTATTATTTTAAAGAATAAAAAACCTATGGTATTAGTAACAACTAAAAATGATGATGCAAATGAATTATATGTACGCGAAGCAGAAAAAATATGTCAACGAAAAGAATGTAAAGGTCAGGTACAGCTTGTTGAAACATCAGCTCATGAATCAGTAAATGTGGATGTGGCTTTTATTTTACTAGCACAACTGGTCGATAAAATAAAAAACAGAATAAAAATTCCTTCTTATCAAGAGGCTTCTAGATATAGAAAAGAACTTTTGGATACACGTTCAGAAGCCGTTACTAAATTAATACGGAATCAAATCACAGACTATCGTATACTTTGGATACAAGGTTCGAAAATACTTTCCCAACATAAAGAATGGACCGATTTCATAAATATTTTTGGTAACGATGCAGGACAAAAAATATTTCGACGTCACATAAAAAAGTTACGTGACGATTATTTAAATAAAAAATTACAACAGTATATTGAAAAATTTTCTTCTGCTCTGGAATATTTGTTGCCAGATATAAATGTACTAAGTACACACGATGGCGATATATGGGATAATGCAAGAAATTTTTTGCGTAATCAACTAGAGTTTAACCAGTATTTCTTTGATTGCCCACAAGTTTCTTGGACAGATTTACTTGATATGGACGAAGCAGTCACTGACGTTCGCATTCCATTCGATGTATTAGAAACGACGGAGGCAGAAACAGCTTTTAGAAATTACGTAAATTCTGTACAACAGGACAAGAAGAAAGTTGGGTAAGTTGTTAGCATTTTATTTCATTTCTTAAATAATTTTATTTTTTAAAAAAGCTGGAAGCATCAATTCAAATTGCTACTTGAAGAATCTGGATTCGTTACACCAGGGAAAAAATTGTCAGAAGTGCGCGTGTTATTTATGGGCCGTGAATGTTTTGAAGCTCTATCAGAACATGATTGTCAACAAATTTATGACATACATCAAGAAGAAATTTTAGAAAAATGTAAAGAAAATTTTATTGAATTGCTTTTAGAAAATGCACAATTATTTCTACAATATAAAAATATTGATATTATAACCCAAGATGATATACGTCACATTACTGATGTTATACAAGATGACTCAAGGTAATTCATTGCAATTTATCATAATTTCGATTTCATATTATTCATTTAGATACAAGATTTTGGATCGTTTGGATCAGGAGAGAAGGCTTATATTATTTCAACATTTGGGTTTTATACATTGTCCAATACGTGAACATTGTCCATTCTTTAATAACTGTATAGATAATTTGATTGGGGAAGTATTATCAAATAAATCATCTCTAAAGAAAAAATCGTCTGATAATTGGAAATCTCAAAATGTAGACAAGACGCTTAACTTATTAATAGTTGGTTCAGAACATTTAGCAAGTGATTTACTAAATGACATTCGCATGTGTACGGGATTAAAAGGAGAATATGTTTTCGAAAACCAAACATATTTTTTAAACTACCGCATTGCCAATGGAGACATGGAAGCTTTTAAGGCAATCGATGTGACATCAAGTGGTATGATTCATTATGTTACAAATATTGTTTTTCATAAATTCAAACTTTAATTTAACAAATTTGTATTAAATAAATTTAAATTTATGTGATGATTTATACACTATTGTAAATAAGCTTATCAAAATTTGCCTATGTACGCTTAAAATCAATTTACATCAATTTGGTGCTACTTGTGCCTTGTTTGTCATTTTATAAGTTTAACTAAACTTCGGTTTCTAACTAATTGACTAATCGAAAATTCATAAGTTTAACAAATGGTTTATATTGCTTGATTATATTATGCACCGGCCCGTACAAAACAACAACAGAAGATAAGCGTCTAATTTTAAATATGTGTGTATATTTTTCGGGAAAATATAGCTAAAATTAAGCAAATACTAAATAAAAATTAGTAAACAATTCGTGTAATAGTTTTTTAAATATCGATAATGCAAATTATAATTTCTTTAATTATGCTTATCGTTATATTACATTTATTTGGGTTTATTTAAAGTGTGACAAAATATATATAACACTTTCATTTTAGGATTAATTTGCGTGTACTCCAATCAACAATCTTTTGAAACCTTGAAAGATAATTTAGAACGGACTTTATTATGTAATCTAGAATTAGAAGATAAATTTGAAAACTTACCAATTGTTTTGGTCTACCAACCACAAGATTTAAAGGAAAATGAAATGGAGTATTTACGGAATGAGGGTGTAAGACTTTCTGAATTGTTACATTGTGATTTTATTGACCACAATCAAAACCACCAAAAATATGTTTATGATATTCTAAATATCGTGATATTTTCTTTAAAACTAACTGAAATAAAAACATATGAAACATATCCATCTAATCAAGTTGATTTACGTATTATTGTCTGCTTATTTTGTGGTGATGAATATAATATGGAAAATATTTTAAGTCCATTAATTGATGAATCTACGATAACTAAAACTGCAGAACATTTAATTATAATTGATATGTTTATTGGCGATTCAAAAAAACGGGTTGAACTAATTATTACTTCATATCACGGCATCAATCAATATCGTGATGAATTAATACATGGATTTATATATTTTTACTCGGCTAAACGTCGATCATCATTAGCGTATCTTAAGTAAGTTTTTCACTCCAATATGTTTTCAAATTGTTTGTCCACAAAAAAAATAAAACATATTTTTCGCAGTATTTTAGCTTCACAAAATTCTAACATACCTGTGCAAATAATCGCAATAACTGAACTAGGAGGTGCAAATGCTTTCTTTAATAGTGACCTTTGTCAATTTCTTATTACGGAAGGTAATTCTCTTGCAGATAAATTAAAAGGAAGCTTTATGACTTTTTCTGCAGATCAGTTTGTAAAATGTAAGTTTTTTTCTAAAGTATTCTAAATTGTTACTAATGATATATTTTTCAGTCGCTTTTTATAGCCCATTTCTTAAGATTGCATGGGATAATAAATATGAAACTGAAAATTTACATATAGAAGAGTCAATTACTATAGATTCTGGCGAAGGAACGTTAGAAAATTCTATTCATCAATTACCAAGGCCTCCTCCACGCCTTGAAAGTTACATGTTATCCAGCACGATGGGAACAGATGGTTCAGGCAGTGAAAATTATGAAATGCTTCCAACACGTTCTTTAAATTCATTAAATGGTACGTATAAGAAAATTTCATTTTACTTTTCATATAATCATATATATATATATTTACTGTACAATACACAACAACTATGAGTTCGCAAAAGTAATGATTGGAAATAATGTAGAAGTGTGTTTAGTATCTAACGCATGATTAAACTTACAGTAATTAACGACTGTTACTGTTATCCATTTATATAAATACAGTAGCTACATGTGTGTTAAAGAACTCCATCATTTGCTCTTCATGAATCATTTTGACTTATCATTTGTTCTGACAAATGACTGCAAAATGTACGTTACTAGTCAAAAAAATTGACTTATGCCTCTAATCTTTTTTAATTTTCATTTTTTTTTATTATTATTGACAATAATTAGAAAAGGAATATAATTAATTTATTTATATTAATGGTTTATTTAATTAAACCCTTTTAAATTAATTTCTAATTATTAAAAAAATAATATATACACATAGCAGAAAAAGTCTGCGGATATTCACAAAATTTTTCTTAAATTACGCATAACTTTTTTAATTTTTACTCAATTTGATTTTCGTTTTTTGATTTATTTTAGCTAAAGAAACAACAATAAAGTTCCAATATAAAAAATTAACAGTTATTCTTTAAAAAAAAATTAAACCCAATTATTTGCAAAAGTAGCAATTTTTGAAGCAGAAAAAGTCTACGGATATTTCTTAATATTTACATTAAAGCAATAAAATTCACAAAAATCTTAAATTTAATAGCCTGTGGGATAACCACTGCATTTAATAACCTCTGTTAATCGTCGTTGCATGGACTCAACTAGCTTTGCAGTATCCTGTGCGTTTATTTCTACCCATTCTTCTATGATGACGTTTCTTACTATATCCTTGCCGGAAAACATATGCTGGCGAATCTTATTTTCCAAATAAACCCACATATGTTCTAACTGTATACCCACAGTATCTAACTGGTATAGGAGTTTGGTGATTCTGGTAGTGTTTGAAGTTGCCTGAGAGCATAGTACAGCATCCAAATCCGTACTATGACTGCTGTATGCTTAGAGTCATTGCCCTGCTGAAACAAAAATGTTGCCTCAAGCTCTAACATTCTGTCATTTGCTTTCAAATTTGTTTTTAGAATATTTAGATACCCATATTTATCCATTGTATCCTTTATAAATTCAAGTTTACTGGCACATTACTTGTTATACACCCCCAACCCATTACGCCTCCACCACCATGTTTCACCGTTGAAATTAAGTTTTATTTATCATAGGCCGTATATGATTTTCTCCACACAATTTTTCTACTTTGATTCCAAATATTTAAAATTAACTCTCATCGGAGAAAATAACTCATTTTCAGAACTTTATAGGTTTATTTATATGCTTTCTTGCAAAGCTTTATCATTTTATTCTACTATATCTGGATATGTATGGCTTCTTTCCTGCAATCAGGGTATAATACATGCATTTCTTCAAAATTTTCCGCTCAGTATCAGGACATATTTTGTTTTCAAGTATTTCGGTAATATGTTCAGCTAGTTTGAAGACTGTTATTCTTGGATTTACTTTCACCTGGTTGAGTATGCTACGTTTTTCTCTATTTGACAAATTTGTGGGGGGCGGCCAGTGTGAGGTTAGAAACGTAAGTCTTCAGCAATTTTTCTTTGGCTTACGTCATCTTTCTAAAATTTACCAGTTATTTGTTGCTCACTAAAACTAATTTCACGTCTTTTATTTTATATTGTAAAAATTTATTCCTTATATAAAAAAATATTATTTAATGATAATTTTTAGACTCTTTAGGAAGTATTAATTAAATATCATTTAATGACACGTTTATGCTTGCAAGCGAATTTAAATTAGCGGTAAATGTAAAAATTAAGAAATATCCGAAAACTTTTTCTGCTTCAAAAATTGCTACTTTTGCATATAATTGTGTTTAATTTCTTTTTAAAGAATAACTGTTATTACTGTTATTATTTTTTATATTGGAGCTTTATTGTTGTTTCTTTAGCTAAAAAATCAAATTGAGTAAAAATTAAAAAAGTTATGCGTAATTTAAGAAAATTTCGTGACTTTTTCTTCTATGTGTATATATAACACAAAAATTGATTTAGTATGGTTACGGAGACTGAATAACAGAGCTCTGATTAAGAAATAGCTGCTATATAAACCGACTCTTTAGTCACTTGTTTACGTATGGGATAAATACAGTGTATATATATACAGTGACGAACAAAATTATTGGCACAGCAAGCAAATTGAACTTTTCCACTATTTTTATCCTGTTAATGATGTGATTTTTAATAAACAAAAATTTTTTTTAGATAAAATGCTTAATTTGCTTTTAAATTCATTTTATTTTCTCTTATATTTAATTTTTTAAAATTAAAAAAACAAAAAAAATAACTAAATTTGGCTGAACAAAATTATTAGCACAGCTAACGCAAAAATTAAAAAAAAATTTTTAATAATTAATATTTAGTGGCCAAGCTCTATTATTTAATAACAGCTACTATTTGCTTTGGAATCAAAAAAATCAATTTTTGTGTGGTTTTTGGTCCGAAATTTTGCCACTCTTCAGCAGTGCCACCTTCAGTTCTGCCATTGTTGTTATAATGGGCTTATAATGGGACGTCTATCCAATTCTTCCCACAAATGTTCAATGGGGTTGAGATTGAGATGGATGCGGCAATATGTGTTTTACATGATGAGCGAGCCACATACGCGCGTCATCATGTTGGAAGCTAAATGTGACAGGTAAACTCAAGTTTTCGGCTCTTTTTTTTTGACGTTTCTCTGGAGAATGTCTAAATAATTATTTTCTATAATGCCGTCAATGAATTCCAATTCGCTGACCCGTGCAGTGGACATGCAGCCCCATACAAACACTCTTTCACCACCATGTTTTACAGACATAGCAAGATTTTCTTTTTACAGTTCGGTGTTTGCTTTTGTTCAAGCCGTTTGGGGGCCATTAGATCGAAAGATCTTACATCTTTTTTTATCCAAGCAGAGTATATTGTTTCAAAAGTCGATTGGCTTTCTTAAGTAATCACTTTCATAGGCGAAATGCTTCTGCTGGTCTCGCAAAATAAACTGTTTTCGTCTAGCGACACAATAGTATTAACTAGTCCCTTGCAGTGTCTTCCTGACCATTATGGGATGAATTTCCTTGCCAATATTTTTGGGTTGCAGATATTTTTGGGTTGACCTTCACTTTTTGTATTATTATGTTGCGTTCACGGACGCTCATGGCTTTAGATCGGTCTGTGTGCTTTGCACTTTGCAACAATATCACCCCCTTGAAAAGCTGCACCATGCTCCGAAAGGTATAGCAGCTTCTATTCATCATTTCTCCAATCTCCGTATAAGATTTGCCTTGGTTGTACAAATATAGAATTAGATAGACATCCAAAGAAACCCATTATAATAACAATGGCAGAACTGAAGGTGGCACTGCTGAAGAGTGGCAAAATTTTGTACCAAAAACCACACAAAAATTGATTTTTTCCATTCCAAAACAAATAGTAGCTATTATTAAATAGAAGAGCTTGGCCATTAAATATTAATTGTTATCGAAAATATTTTTTTTTAATTTGTTTTTTAATTTTTACGTTAGCTGTGCCAATAATTTTGTTCAGCCAAATTTAGGTCTTTTTTTGGTTTTTTAGTTTTAAAAAATTACCATAAATATAAGAAAAAATAAAATGAAATAAAATAAATTTAAAAGCAAATTAAGCATTTATCTAAAAAAATTTTTTGTTTATTAAAAATCGCATCATTAATAGGATAAATATAGTGCTAAAGTTCAATTTGCTTGCTGTGCCAATAATTTTGTTCGTCACTGTAGATAACATAATATATACACACATGTATAAATATATATATATGGATTTCTTTGAGGAATTCAAAAATAAATAAATTCTATCATGAATAGCGTCCAACAAACCATGTTTAACGCAATGATAATTGCCACTAGTTACAGTAATATAAAATAAACATTAATTAAAAATTATGACGTGGAAATCACACTAGGGAAATGTTTTGTGCATAAGTTCTGTTATGTTAACAGTTAAAAACAATAATAATAATAAACTGCTAAACATTCTATGATATCATGAAAAATTATATGATTAAATTATGGAAATTTCAATAGAAATTATTACAAGTAAAAGACTATAAGAGCACTCACTAAAAATCCATTGTCTTCTGTCTTTAATATATATATATCATAAATGTAAAAGACTTTTTTTAAAGAAATAGGTTTTTTAGTCGTATCCGAAGAACAACGAATTCTCCTACCGAGATAAAGGCAGACTTACCAATCTCCTATTATTCAGATTTTCCATTTAGAAATTAATTTCCAAAAATCCAAAATGTGTAATGGAGGGAGTTTCTGGGAATTTTTGAAACGGAAGACAATACTTTCAATTTATCAAAATGTATTATTTGCATTCAACAGAAAGACTTATATATCTATCCACAAAAAAATAGAAGTAAAATACTGTAAAGAATCTGACAATGACTTAGAAGCAAATCATTATGCCCAGTAGAAGTAAATGAAATAGCACTTATATCTTAAAAGAAAAGCGCCATAAAAAGATTATATAAATACGATATGCCTTCAGATAACCGTAGCATTTAGTTTGTGTACACATCTGTACAAAAAAATCGATGATTTTGATACTAAATCTCGTAAAAAAAAAACAAGTGTGAGAATTTTGTATTCTAATTGTACCGATCTTGGGTTGCTACTTCTTACAGAAAACAAGTGGTTCCATATGAAAAGCTGACACTTGAATTTTTAGGTTTATAAAGGTATTGGTGCTTTTTTTATTTAGGAACTATCAAAGTAAGAACTTTGTCAGATATAATATATATAACCCGGCGCATAATTTGTTTTTTGACAATCAAGGTCAATAAAACTATTTTATGTTATGAATCGATAGAAAAGTTATGTGATAAAAGACGTGAAAAGTTAATTTTTCTTAATATTTGCACAGACTGTGATCTATAATAATGAAT